CACACACACACACACACACACACACACACACACACACACACACACACCATCTCACTCTTAGCTCTGTACCTGTTGGGCCGGGGTGGAAGTCTGCAGCCGGCGTAAGCTTCGGCCCTTTAAGTTGCAGACGCCTTCATCATCATCATCAGTGTCATCCTCGGAGATGGAGATGACGTCAGGGCTGGAGTCGATCACGATGACCTCCTCAATAAATGATGAAGACGACCTCTGACTTTTAGGGTCCCCCGTTTTCTGGTTATCGAGTTTCTCTCGCTTCTTCTTCTCCTTTTTCTGCGGGTATTGCAGTAATTTGCTCAAATCGGGTGATGGAGGCCTACTTTCTCCAGTATGTTCCCGTTCTCCGTCCACATCTACAGTCTTCTCGGGCCCCTCGGGCTGCAGGCTGTCCTGGCCCTCCGCCGTCTCTCCCCTGTCCTCCTGCTCCTCCAGCGCCCTGGCATTAGAGGAGTAGTGGAGCTGGCTGTAGAGGTGGAACTCCAGCTCGCTGTTGGCCTCCGACCCATCAGAGTCCCCTTCATCATCTTGATAGAGATCGTCCTCCAACTCCTTCCGATCCTGGTACGCACAGTACATCGCCCCAAAATATACTCGGGCCCCACGCGCACACCTTACTAACGCTCACACCCACCTGGGGTGAAGGAGATGAAGCGACCTGCAGGGATTAAAAAAAAAAAAAAAAACACAGTTATTATAGTCCTCGCAAGTCATCACAACAGCAATCTAAAGTAACATAACAATGTTAGCACAAATGCAATGTGCAATAATATTGTCTACAGCCGTTTTTGCACAGGACTAGTATTACCGGGAGACCTCATGTGATGTAGGACCCCCCCCCCCCCCACCCACGCCCAACGAATGTGTTTCGTCCAACGCATTCGGATGGAGTGAGGAAAGCCTGTATTTGACTTGAATTTACTGTTATACCTCAGATATTATGTCAAGAATTCACGTAACATCCGCTTGTATTTAAAATATTATACTATATAATACTTATATCTAATAATATAAATATTATGATTATGAGTACTCCCAAAGATCTCTTACTCCGGTGCACCTATGAATCAGTTTCCATGTCGTTTAGCGAGATGAGCTGCCTGAATTTGCACCAAAGATGCTGTTAAAGCTTAAAGCTTCTATAATTCTTCACCGGGAATGTTGCAAAATTAAAAAGAGTAAGATTACGGACAGCACTAGTCCCGTGCGAATAGTTCAATACTGTATTAAAACTGCGCTTAGGAATAAAAAAAATAAAGTCTTTTGAATATACAGTTTACTTTTAAATCATTCAAACCTAATATTATTGTCAAGTCAACCATTACCCAAAGTATAAATCATTCAAGGCCGCAACTAATTATCATTCTTTATAATAATTAAAATACTGCTGTTTGCTTTCATTGTTTCGCTTTAAAATCGGTGTATAGTTAATTTATATTCGCCACTCTCTGAATGCATTTGACAACTATCTGGCTGATGGCCAATTCACCAATACCAATTCAGGATAACCAACGGGTACATTATTACCAAAATTGCTTGTTAATCTTTTCCTGTGTAAACTATCCATCCCATGCAAACAAAGTGATATAAATGATTATCTACAGCACTGAGGAATAAGTGAACACAGGCCAGCGTCAATCACAGGGAGGCCACAGACTTTGGTCTTGTTCTGTAATCCATTGGGACTGGTTAACAAAGCTGAGAGAGAGCATGGATCAGCTGCACTCTGAGATTTCTTTTTAACCGTTTCATCACAGCTTTGGTGGTAAGAAACAGTTTGGATCCAGGTTTATTACCTGTGATGCGATGCGATGCTGTCAACAACAAACACTTTAACGACACACTTTCAATGTTTTAATGAAAATATCTTCTTTGTACACTCTTTAAAACACACACTGTGTTGCTAATTTTCCCCAATCTCTCTCCCTCTCCCTCTCTCTCTCTCATAACCAAACCCAGTCTCATGTTCCATCTCTGACACACACACACACACACACACACACACACACACACACACACACACACACAGTACAGAAAGGGGCACCGGCCCATTGCTCTGTCCAGTCCTGCGTGTCTGTGCCATGATGGCTGGAGATGATTGGCTCCCGGACCGCACACACCGCAGAAACGCCACGCTACGCGGTCACAAGCCGGCCGCCGGGGATTAAAGGGACAGAAAGAAGAAGGGTCTTACCGGCTGGTGAGGGAGAGCGACAGTTTTGAAGTTTGTCGCACAGAGACCTGGAGCCGACAAATGACCGACTGTGTCTTACAGTGGCGGAACATAAAGCCCCAGCACAGCCGTGATCCCCGGGCACAGGTGTGTTCACTTATTCTGCCTTATTAAAGCTCAGCACAGGACTGTGAGGGGTACATACGGACTGTATACTGACATCTTACTGACTCTTCCGGTAGCTTTGTTGCATCTGTTAAGGTCGAACAACTCCCACCTTCACCAGAGAAAATCAGAGCACCAAACTATTGGCCAACAAAGCGCATCTGCTTGGTCAAAGTTGAACTTTCGCATTGAACACAGTGTGACATATGCTTCCATCTGTCTGACGTTCATGTTTTAATAGAAGTGACTGGGAGATGGAGCGAATATTTGTGGGATAGATATGTAACGGGAGAGTACCTTTGGAAAAGTCAAAGTGTCAGCTGTGAAATCACATTCACATCATAACTCTGGCCGGCATCAACCTCAGCAGATGTCCAATCAAGCAGAATAACCACAACCACCGACCTAATGCATGTGTGAAGGACCTTGAAGTACAATTCTGAGGTACTTTACTGGAGTATTTTCATTGCATGCTACTTAATACTTCTATTTCACAATATTTCAGAGAGAGAATTTGTACTTTTTTACTTTGTAGATTAAGATTTTACACAGAAAACGTATCATCATCTTTGAAAATATGCTCTACTGTAATAGATTTAACTACCCAAAAGTAGACATAGCAGCGGAAATGAGTTCTAGCTCAACCAACAGCATCAATAATGCTATAAAACAATATAATGAAGGGTATTCGGCTTAATTTTACTTTTGATAATGAAAGCACATATTGCTGTCAGTACTTTTAAGTAAAATTGAAAGTATTTTATTTGAATAATATCTAAGCATCCCCGGTGTTTATTCAGTGAAGTTTGTAACGATTTTAGGAGGGGTAACGTGAAAATGTAATATATAAATTCACTGATTTGATGGCGTTGGTTGCCATGGTGTTTTGGGGAACACACACACACACACACACACACACACACGTTGTAAAGTGACAGAATGAGTCTCGAGCACACAGCTAAGGACTAATAACACTACAATGACAGCAGAAATCTGGCGTAGCTTTATAAATAACTACGCACTTTAACTGTGCAAACGTTAGCATGGTGTTAGCCCCGGCTAGCTCTATGCTACCGAGCTAGCATATGGACTGAGGCACACGTTAGCCCGGTAAGAAGCAACTGCTGAGTGAGTAGCTAACGTTTAACTGTACCCAAAAACACAAAGGCCTCCAAAAAACTGTCGCTAAGATTTGGCTATTTCTAGTTAGTTCCACGTGTCGACAGTTAACCTTAGCATGTGTCCCCCCCTGTCCGTCCACGTGTTTTTATGCAGCAGAGCAGCCGGGTAGGATGTAAACAAGGAAGCATTTCAGTCTCAAACACGCATGAAAACAAATGCATGGAAATAAAGTCCTCCTATTGAAAGGCAACACTATACATGTTTCATATTTAATGTCAGTAACCACGAGCTCACCTTTATCCAACAATACGGAGAGGTTACAAGAATCGGAGGCGCTCTTCCAGAGGGTGACGGACAAACAACTTCCGGGTTTGTCAGGGGAAAATATGTTGGCCGACCGTAACGTTTCACTCCGTACTGCTGGAGACTACATTGACCAATGGTGGCAACCACAGAGCGTCAGTAAGAAACGAACAACTAGGATAGATTGTCAGGTTAGAGTTTGAATTGTTGGACCGGAGAGATTCTTCTATGTTTCAGGAAATCCAAGCACCAACGTTTGAAAATGTGTCCTGATTTTATAAATACTGAGGACATGAGTTAAAGGACCCACTGAAAACCATAAACCTCATCCCAGCAGAGGCACAAGAAACAGTTTGAATATGATTTTAACACTTTTTAAGGATTTTTTTTTTTGTTCCTAGGCCTAGAAATTGTAAAATTGTTGTTGTAATATTTGATGTTATTTCAGTTATGTCAGTCTGTTGTACAAACGTGTTTCTATCTGTCTAGTCTGAGTGGTATGAAGAGCTAATAAGAAGTTAATAAAAACAAAAGACTTATGGGGACCATAAAAAAACATATATGTTGTGAGTAATACTTAAATCAAACCCCCAAACGCTAAGCCAATCTTTTTAATAACGCATTACATTCCAGGATCATACCGGGACTGACAGTATTTCTATGGACTACTTGTACATCTGGTTTTATCCCCTATCCAGATTGTGATGCTATAATAATATACTATATAGGAGCATATCGTTTTGCTGTGATGTGGAGTTATTCTAAATGTATAGGATTAACAGTTTCATTATAAAAATATTTTCCCATAAAATGACCAAAATCTGTGAAGATAAGAAATTCATATTGGCCTGTTTGTTTAGACCAGAGGATGGGGAGGTCACAATCCCTCATGGCATCATCAGGTAATCTGATATTCTGTCATGCAAATTTATTACAATCTACATTTTTGTCACTGTCGTATCACATTTCCTGTCAGCTCTATTTACTGCTACCATCTAATAAAAGGCCCCAAACACACTTGCAAAATAAAAAAACAGGGGATCTGAATGGTTGAACTCTACTGTTCTGTTATGCAAAATATTACGATTGCACATGTTCTATGTGCTCAGAGAATACCCTGAAACTACATTATTGTGAAACATGAATTCTAAAATGTCATTATTTAAGTTGACGTGGATTTTGTAGACTGGGCTGCTTTACTTCAGAGGCATCGTATCTCATTCTGCAGACAAAAGATCCGGCAGGGCCCTACACTGTGTTTCACTACATAGACTATTGTCATTCTGATGGATGTAAGGGCGTTTTCACCTTCCTCAATGAGGCACAAATATTAGCTATGAAATGTCAGAACGTGGGCACGTGCGTGCACGCATGAACATGCGTGCACGCATGTTTGAGCGACTAGCATGGACCTGCAGGCCTGTTTCATTATTACATGTTGATGGGAATGTAAATCTATATGTAAATGTAATTCAACAGACTGGCTATCGCCATCAGTCATATTTATAACGTGCAGAATGCTGCAGAATTATGCCATCCTGGCTCTCGTGAACATTAACATCCATCTTTTCCCTTCCTTCCATATCGTGAGAGTAATTGTGAACTATGTATATCCAACTATAGGCATCGGCGTCATCGTAGCGGCAGGCGAATGGCGTATGTGATAGGGAATCAGAGGGTGAATGCCATCTGATTTCAAGGGGTTCTCCATGCGTGTCAACACAGGAAAAGGCCATCACAGAGTTGGATTGTTTCCCTCCGAAAAGGTTAGGCTGCACCTCATGTCTCAGCACTATCACCTCTTGTATACATCTGACACACACACACACACACACACACACACACACACACACACACACACACACACACACACACACACACTCACTTAATATCCTGCATCTGTTTTGTTTTTGGGAAGCGCATATGGGGGCCCTCTGCCTCCTCTGCTCCCCATATCTTGCTAAATTGGATGCAGGTTTTGGGATGCCTCACTGCCTCGGTGAAATTGTGATGCGGCTGCCTGATTTTGGGTTCCATGCATTCAACGGTATTTACTATTATTATTTTAAAAGAAAGGTAGAGGATGCCTGACTGAATGGAGGCATCTGGTTCAGCGGTTCATCTCCGAGCGTCCAGACCACTGGCTTGTTGAAGATGGATGGAGTGTCCTGGACTAGGGGGTTTAAAGTCCCCCTGATTTACCAATCAAGCATTCCAGGAGGGACGGTTCTGCCTGGCCAATGATCTTTATTGAGGAGAAGGAGTTAAAAGAAGCATGTCATTGCTATCGTTTGATGGCATCTGTATCCTGCTCTCTTTTGGAGCCAGACGTCGCGGCTCCAAACGCTTCTTCGACCGAGCGCTTGATCAAAAACGGGATTTATGTCTGCTGCTCCCGTGTATTGGCAATATTCTGCAAAGTGATGGTCATTTGTGTACAAACATACTTGTCTGAAGACCAAAACTGTGTCCTGAACGCTGCTATTGCTTTGGTTTAGTCCTTTTGATGAAGCATGCAAAAAGGATTTTGGAGAAGCTGTGCTAAAAATGCAGCACAAGGCATTGTTTTCTTTGGTGAATTCTGAGGTGCATCTTTAGAAATGACCAAACCCCAGTACAGTTGTTTGGGAAATAGGTACAGTTGAAACAATTAGACGATTCATCTATTAGTTGAGCAACAGAAAATTAGTATTTTCTGGTTTTCTTTGTCCTCTTTGATAGTACACTAAATGTTTTAGGCTTTTGGATGGTTGGTCCAACAAAAAAACAAAAACATTTTAAGACACCATGGGCTTTGGGAATATGTAATGTGCATTTTTATTGTCATTATTGTGCTATTTGGAGCAAACAATTGATTCATTGAGAAACTAGTCAGTAGATTGATCAAAAAACAAAATAATAAATCAGTTGCAGCCCAAGAAATCATGTACAAAGCGACGGACAGGCATGTGGAGCATCTGCTCACATTGCAGACTCCAACCGTAACTGGTTGCATCAGCTTGTTTCAGTTCTGAAAAATGAAAATCGTCTTCCTCTTCTTCCGTTGGCGCAGGCTTCCTTGTTGCTATATGGATGTAAATACAACCAGCCTGCCTGTATCAAAGCAGCCAGGCAGGAGGAATTCCCTCAAAAAAAAAAATACAAAAAAAAAAAGACTCGCCCTGGATCAGCGCTTCTGAACAAAAATGGCTCCCATGCATCACCCATATGGGGCCCTCTGTGCCGGAGTCATTCACACCCACCACATGTACAGCATTCTCTTCCACCGCAGCACACACACACTCTGTCGTATCACTACAGCGAGAGTTTGATCCTTTCAGTCGCATTAGCATCTGTGTTTTATTTTTTTAAATTAATTAATAAATATCACAGCATCAAATAGCCCTGCAGGATATGAAACCGGTGGCGTATTAGAGAGATTCAGTAGATTCTGGAGTTAATATGCCAAGTAGAGCATGGTGCTAATCAGTGGCAGAACATGCAGGAAGTGATAGAACACAACTGGAAGGGATTGATGGCTTGTCACAACTTCTGTAACAGAATATTTCTTTGGTTTCTCAGTCATTTTCAAATATTGAAATGTAATCGGGCCTTCTCTTTAAAGCCTTGTTCAGACACGCCACTGGTATGTGACATCGCTTGGCCCCTATAGTCGACACCAGGAGCTTTGACACTGCAACGATGGATAAGCAGTAGGATGTTAATGAGTTTTTTATTTATCTATTTTTATATATATCTACTTTATTAGGTAGTATACTCTACAGAGCTGACCGGGAATTACTTTGCAAATACATTGTCGGAAATCAACAACAAAAATTATGTTTTTTTTCTGACATTTTTTAATGTAGCTTTTTTTCTTGGGATGTAATGTGTACAATTCAGGCCTTTTAAAAATGCTTCACATGAGCGGTGGGACGTATAGTGCAAAGATCTATTTAGAAACTCTTTTTGGATAAAATAATCAGATACGTGTGGTTATTTTGACTAATCCACCAAAGTCAACACCAAAGTGCATCATCACATGGATGCAAAAATCATATAAAAATCCAATATTTCTGTTGAACAATCCTGCTCATTGGTTTACAACACTACGGCTTGACAGTTGAACAGTTGATATTGCCTTATGGTGTACAGTATATCATCATATTGCCCAACTTCAAACTAAACACTTTGAGAGGAAAAATCACTCTTTGCTTGAGTTGCTCCCAACTGGTGTCCGCACTGAGGCCGCGTCCACCTGTGAAGAGGGGCCACGAGTAGACAGCGCCTCATTTTAAGGGGCCAAAAGACAGTGGGGAACCATCGTAGTAAAAGCACAATAGAAAAAAAAAACAGGATGCCGTGTGTACTTTTGTGGTCAGTAGATTTTAGACTGCTGTTTAAAAAATCTCTTGTTATTGGCCTCTGCTGCCAGTGTCTGACAGTCCCACTTTTTTAAAATCGAATTAATTGCCAGTACAGGTGAGATACCCCGCCACACACACACACACACACACACACACACACACACACACACACACTCCAGGAAAACACTTTTTTTGTGGAGCTCTGTGCTCAACAGTCGGTGCTTTCAGCAGGAAAAGACTAGAACAAGAGAACAAGCCTGACAACACCTTTTCAGACCGGACCAAGTGACTTGTGTCTATGGGGATTACATTTGTGAACAGAAGCTGTACATACACACACACACACATATTTCCACACACACATTGCCACACGATGCCACCATTCTCTCTCTCTCTCCCTCTCTCTCTCTCTCTCTCTCTCTCTCTCTCTCTCTCTCTCTCTCTC